ATCTGGCATTGGCGGCTCATGTTCATCTTGGAATCAATAATGACTCCAAGATCCCTTTCCGCCTCTGTGCTTTCAAGAGGGGAACTCCCCGGCCTGTATATATGCTGTGGATTCCTTCTTCCAAGGTGCAGCACCCTGCATTTGTCTATGTTGAACCCCATCCTATTCTCTTCTGCCCACTTCTGTAGTCTGTCTAAATCTAGTTGCAGTCTCTCTCTCCCTTCAAGTGTGTCCACCTCGCCCCACAACTTGGTGTCATCAGCAAACTTGGACAAGGTGCTTTCCACCCCCTTGTCCGAGTCGCTGATGATGTTAAACAGTGTGGGCCTGAGGACCAAGCCCTGGGGGACCCCACTGCTCACATCTCGCCAGGTTGAGTACAACCTGTCCACTACTACTCTCTGGGTGCACCCCATCAGCCAATTTTTTACCCATCCAACTGTGCAGGCATCAATGCCGCAGTCGCTTAATTTATTGAAGAGGATGGGGTGAGAGACAGTGTCAAAGGCCTTCTTAAAGTCTAGAAAGATTACGTCCATAGCGACACCATCATCCAAGACTCCATTAAATGGTCTCAATATGGGCATCTGAAACAGAAATGACTGGTAAATGTTGATAATGGCTAAGTACAGACTGTCAATAAGCACAAGGCTTAATTGATTCAATCTTTGCAGGTTAGTTTAAACTGCATTGATTGAACTGATAAGCAAGTGAACAGACATTCACTTTTGATTCCAGAAATGCAGCCACATGCCTGCAGTGGCCCAGGCCAGAAGCCAGGAGGTTCTAAAGCACACCTCCCTGCTGGGCTGGGCCAGGCAGCTTGGGCTAAGGCTAGCCTACCAGTGCTGCAAGGGGAGGTTTGTGGGGGAGGTGCAAAGAACCTGGGATGCTGGAAGACTTTGAGTTAACTTGAATCTGGAGGGGATCTAGGACAGAATTTCAATAAACTGATTTAGCCTAAATCAGTAAGTCTGATACTACAGCTACGCAGGTTTATCTTAAACCAGTTTTGGCCATTTTGAAAGCAGTTTATGTGCACTGAACTTCTGTTGTGTTACAGATTTGAACCAGTTTCCAAACACTTATACTAGTTTATGTGTAAATTCTGTCCCTAGCCTAAGGGATGGGATTTCAGGAAAAAACCCTGTTCCTAAGTATTTCCTTTGGCTACTTCTGGGCACCTGCCCTCTCAGCATTGTCATGACCCAAAAGGCATGATTGTGTGTGTGTGCTTCGGCATCAGAATTATCCACGTTAAGTTGCCGAGCATTGCACGGGAGTTTCCTATAGCAAGAGGAGACTCCGGTGCAGGGACCAGTTTCCCGCCTTTTCTGCAGCTTCTTTTGCAGAGTGCATTGCTCGAGTTGCAAGAGGAATGCACGGTGCAAAAGAGTTCCCGCCACCGGTATGCAAATTTGTTCCCCGTGATTGGCTAG